ATCTCACCAGCTGGAATTTCTTGACCAATAGGGTCCACAGCATGCATGCTCTGCCGGCACAAGTAGGGTGGGCCAGCCCTATTGTGGAGAGACGGTTCCTCAGGTAACATGGATCTATGCCGTGCAGGGCTTTCAAGATGGTAACTAACACCTTGAATTGCATGTAGAAGCAAACTGGCAACCAATATGGGCCACTCTAGGGGTCCCAAAGTCTTCCTACACCGCCATAGTCTACATCAGTTGTAGAGCTTCCAAAAGCTGGGTTTTTTCATGCTGAACAGAACAGAATAACTCTTCAAGTGTAGCCCCATATACAGCACATTGCAGTGTCCAGACATGAGATGACCAGGACTTGAGTGACTGAGCACAGGGATTCCTGAGCCATTATAAAATAAACATTTGAAAACAAAAGCAAATTAACTGAGAATTTATGCAAAAAGGCACCCTAATATTGATCATGCTTAGAGGTCAAATATAAGAGTACTGACTTGTCATAGAAGAGATGTGAAATAAGTAGCACTTGGTTTCAGACTCGCATAACTGGACTAAGGCAACTTTTCCTTCCTTCCCTTTAGTATAAATGGCTGGCCATTCAATGTCAAATCCTAACACAGATCCAGCAGGCAAGGTAATGCTGCAAAACATAAGTATATCTGAGCCATAGTAATATGTTAATGACATAATACAAAATAATGACTTCTTACAATCATTGTCAAATGAGAAACTAAATTCAAGAACATGTATTCCTTTCCTTTCTCTCCTTTTGAACAAAAATGTTCTCTCTCCCTCATTCTCTTCCACTATCATTTATGTTATCATCTTCAATTAATACTGATGAAATAATCAAGATTAAGAAAAATAAGGGAAAAAGAAACTAGAGAATAAAACAAGGAAAAGGAAAATACATGTGATTAAGACTGGATTCCAATTTGCAAATTATTTTTACATGTATATCACCCAGAATACATCAGAAATTATTAAAAAGCAGTAAGTAGAAATATGCAGCTCTAGAGATTATAAAACAAAAATGAGAATTTCCAAAAGTTTCTCTGGGATGATTTTCTTGACAGTAAATGCAGCAGATGAGCTTTAATTCCCAAGTATTCCATATACCATATTCTAGAATGTGTAAATCAACCTATAATATTGTGTTTTTATTCATACATACATACATGTATGTGTATGTACACACACACACACATATTAGCTATATCTTTTATATGCGGTCCAAGACAATTCTTCTTCACTATGGCCCAAGCCAGCTGAAAGGTTGGACATGCCTGGCCTATATGTTTGTGGAGAGGCATATATGTTGTTTGTGGGATTTGGGGAGGCTGTTACAATTTTTATGCAGGAAGTTACATATATGTCTGAGTATATTTCTCTGGCCACCCATTCTCTTTTAAGTCTCTTTTATGAATTAAATATCTTAAATTTGCTTCGGGAGGGGTATGTGATTTGGAATTTATTCTATGTATTTAGAATAAATTATCACCTCTGCTTTATATTCAGGGAAAAATTGGGTATAGAAAGAAGATCGTGGTTGAAAAAAATTAAGAATTTCTGAAAAAAGCAAAAAAGCAGTATTTGGAATTTTTCTTTTTAAACTGCTATAGATTTACACTGTAGAGTGGTGTTTAAAAACAAACTAGGAATGAACTAAAATTCTGTATTAGAGGTAATAAGTTCTGGTGAAAATAAGCCAAAATGGGTAAACTAACATCCAATTATGGTTTCAAATTGTAGATTGATTCTACCGTAAAATATGGTATATTGTATGAGATCCAGCTTCAAATAAAGTATAATTGAACAAAACAAATCCTGATATGGTACTTTGGCCTGGGTCATATGAAATATCAAACCAGTCAGATTGGAGACCTTACAACCACATTTAAGAACAAATCTACTAAATTTGACCAAGATTCTGAAAGTTGCAAAGTTTTTTTTTAAACAAACAGATCCTGACATTATATAAATATAAACAATGTGATTTGCTTTTAAATAAACCTGCATAATATTGCACACTAAAATTAATTTAACAATTTGATCTAACCCATTCAATGCCTGGGGTACCAATGGTTAGAATGCAATATTGCAGGCAAACTCTGCCCACAGCCTGGAGTTTGATCTTGATGGGGCTCATAGTTGACTCAGCCTTCCATCCTTCTGAGATCAGTAAAATGATTGTTGAGGGTGATAGGCTGGCATTATAAACTGCCCAAAGAGTGCTGAAAAGCACTATGGAGAGGTATATAAATCAAAATGCTATTGCTATACTAAGTCATTTTGTGATTAGATTTAGCATGTCATTCAAAGGCAAGTACAGACAATCTTAACAACAAATATTTGAAGCACTGCCTCTCCCCAGTTACATCTACCATCAGAGCAGGAAAGGAGGGTACGTTGTAGGTCCCATCTATCAGAGAAGTACATCTAATGGGATCACGTTGCTGCCAGGAGTGTGTGGGGTGGTGGTTTATGGGCTTCTGACTGTCGATTTTAAATTTTATAAGCTGCTGACAATCAATGTTAGGCAGCTATATAAATTTATTTAATAATTAATCATAATCACAGCTTATTTTTAGTTCACGAATTGTATTTATAGCTATATATTTTGTCTGGACTGGACAGGATCAACAATATACTTTTGACCCCATCCTGTTGACAAGTTACAAACAATTCACTTCTCCTTCCAATCACCTAATATAAACTGGGTTGATAATAAAATCCTGAGGACTTAAGTAGATGTAAATAATATAAATGGAGTGACTACTATGAAAGTGCTATGAATAATGATAATCAAATGAAAACACACATGTAGATGCAACTAGAATATACATTATTTTGAAAGATTACACTAAAAAAGCAAAAATGCAAGTTTTCATTATCTTACAGAATATCTTCCGAGAGCAAGGAACAATCATTAGAATTATAGCTGTAGATGATAGAGCCGTTGTATTCTAAGAATGGAAGGTTATCTTCCAGGACACTCGGTTGGAATGAATTCTTCTGCTTCATAAAAATGTGAAAAACAACTTGGTTTATAATTTGAAGACCAGGTAATGATTTGTTAATATTACCATCATAATATATTATTCCTTTCCAACTTAGTAGAAAAATACCAACCTGATTGGTTAAGTTACTGGTAGCCAAGTAAGAATTGATTTGAGACCAATTTTGATATGCAAAAAAGATACAATTTTATTTTCAAAGCATATTGGTATTTTGGATACTGTTTACACAGATTAGGAGTTTAACAAAAAGAATGGATCCACAGACATTCTACCAAGAGAAACTTCTTTCTCAATTGCCATACTTATTAGAAACTGAAGGACAATGTTAAAATATTGCTAATAAAATCTATTTTGACTAAAAAAGAAATTACTTGATCAAATGCCCTAACAAGGACAGTTTAAAAATCAATCTGAATACACAATGTTTAACCTCCCTACAAAAATTAGTAACCCAATTATAACTGGATATAATTTTGCATATTCTTACACCTTGAAAATACAGCATCAAGTATTCCCGTTTAATGCCATCAAGCTAAAATCAACAGAACTACAAAGAACTAAATTAGCAGTTCTAAAAATTTCCATGCAAATTGGAAATTTGCCCAAAGGACTTGTCATTTTTCATGCTTTAAGTTACAAGAGCCACGCATATATCCCGATTTTCTACCTTTTTGTCATCTACAGTATCTTCACTGTTTGGTTCTGTCATCCACAGGGGAAGTTTATTTGATGGAGAATTCATATTACTGTCAATTTATTCCTCTGCAAATGCACATGTTCTGTAACAAGAGACATTTTATTACTTTTCTTGAAAGCAATAAAAATACCTTAATTGCTAAAAGATACCATTCATAATGATTTTTCTTATTATAAATTCATGGGTTTTTTTAATTGTAAATTCATCTTTGGCAGAAGGACACCTGTTGGAGCATTGACTTTCACTTTCAATAAGCAAGAATGAGAAAAATTGGAAAGGATAAGAAAGCAAAGAATGCAGCCATATACAGAAGGTCAACCGTCTATTGACCTGTCATCCAGCATGCTTTGCATGGTATAAATTCAATTAGTCTGCTTTGCGGGGCAAAGTCACTCAACCAGCTTTTATGTCTACAGCAGAGCTCATTCTCCTGGTTCCCTGGCCAGTGTGGCTAAAGGACAAAAAAAACTTTTCAGAATACCTTCTCCTCTTGGTTTTGGTTGGACAAATATTTGAAAATGACAACCAAGTGTTACTTTAGAATATATATGGTGCTTCTGGAATCAAAACAATGTATCTGTCATCTGTCACAATCATGTCTGTCACTTAGTAAAACAAATTTAGATTCCAGATGCAGGCATATGCCCAAACCATCACATCCAAAGGCAATTACAGGTCAATGTAAGAACTGCTTTTCAAGAAGATTTACTACCAAGGGAATATTCATACAGCTATGGCCTTAGTGTGAGGCGATTATATTTATATTAATATATAAATATAGAACTAAGTCCCAGAGTTGAATGCAACAGGAGTATTGATGGCTAGCGATGCCAGATAACTTAACACGCTAATATAAGCGTCTAAACAAAAGCTAACTCTCCTAATAGTCGCGCTGGAAGTAAAAGAAACTCACCTCACCCCGAAATTTTCCTACAGCCCAGTACCATAGGCAAAAAGTTCTTTCCTGATCTCTTTCCCGCCAGACGCACGAAAAAATCATCACCTACAGCCAACACTTATCGTCGCAAGGAAAATACGCCACGAGCCGCCATACTCCTCCTCCCCCCCACCCCGCCTTTCTTTCCGGCCTCTGTCAACTATAGAAGGTGAAATGAGGTGAAGTGCATGCGCACAAAAGCTTCCGCGCCCGCCAGCCGCCGGCAACGCAAGTCATTCTGGGGGATGTAGTTTATCATGTTTGGAAGAAAGGTGGGGGGAGACGGGGCGCTTCAAAGTTGCAGGGAGAAAGGGATTCCTGCTCTCAGGCCGCTCGGTACGCTATTTTTTTTTTTATCGTTTTCTTGCGGCTGGGGCGGTTGACGTTGGCTGGCGCGTGCCGAACATGAAGCAGCGCCCCGGAGGAGGGCGAAGAAGCGGGCGGCAATAGGACCTGCCGGATCGCGGAGCGCTCATCCCTCATCTCAGAGGCGGCCGCGCGGGGAAGGCGAGCGCTGCAGGGGCCAGGGCGGATAGCGGCCGCGGCTGGTTGAGAAGCAAGTCGGCGAGAGGCAGTTGAAGGGATGGAGTAAGTGTCGACCGCCCTGCGCTGTGGGGTTTTGGTTTTTTTTTCACCCCCCTCTGGCTAACCCGCTCCACCCCCCCACCCCCGCCCCGGCTCAATTGCGTGTCATGGCGCCTGGAGGGGCCGTCGGTACAATTTGTACGGGCGCCCATAGGGTGTGGGGTGGCGGGGGGAGCCAGGGGTGGAGAATGGAAGGACTCCCGTGGAATTAGGCTGCCCGTTTATAACGGGGAAGGAGACGCTTTTCAAGGCGAGAGGTCTTTTGACGCGATCGGGTTTGGTGGTGGCGCGAAGGCCCGTTCGGGAAGGTCGGGGCTGCCCCGTTTCTTAGACAGACCTTGCCCCCCATCCCCTTCCCCGAGCGGGCATAGGCAGCTTGGGCTGGAGCAGAAAAAGCCTGACGTTCAGCACCTGACGGGAGAAAAGGCTTCAGTCGCGGGCTTATCAAGCGAATCCCCCCAAGCACTGTATCGATACCATAACACAGGATATAGGGTGTGTTTTAAAGTGGAAAATAAAAAATTACCCGGTGAAAGAACTCTCCTTGTACTCTAGCTACGTTTTCGTGGCTGGAGAAACTTCCCCTCCTGTCAACAGTTTAACGTTGCTGATGTGGTAGGAGCAGGTTGGGAAGGGTGGAAAAGGCTGTTTCTTTTTTTCAAAAAACGGATTCTGTGCCTTTAACTTCGGCCAGACATTCAGCAATTTAGCACATGATTTTCCACAAGAACTCCCCCCCCCCCCCCCTTTCTATATACCAGGCTAAAAATCAAAAGTGTTGAGTGAAATAACTTTCTAGGGGAAATTAATTGTGTGCAGGGAGGCCATTGCCATGAAAGCGAAATGGATCTCCTGGATGTTTATGATGTTATGCATCTTTGTTATATATTTGTTATTTTCAGTTGATGGTTAAAGATGGAGAGAGGCAGAGGAGGAGGAGGAGGAAGGAGTGTGGGGGGCTCTGGCCTACACAGGAGCATTTACTCCCAGTCCCAGCAGCAGTATCATTATCCTGCCTCCTCTTCTCAGGCGGGCTGCATGGAAATCCAGGAGCTGGCTTCCAAAAGAGTGGACATCCAAAAAAAGAGATTTTATCTGGACGTGAAGCAAAGTTCCCGAGGTCGTTTTCTGAAGATAGCTGAAGTCTGGATAGGAAGAGGCAGGCAGGACAATATCAGAAAAAGCAAGCTGACTCTATCTTTATCAGTAGCTTCTGAGTTGAAAGATTGCCTGGGTGATTTCATAGAACACTATGCCCATTTGGGCTTGAAAAGCAGCCAGAGTCACCGGAATGACCATGCTAATGGCAAAGAACAAGATTCAAGAAGGCGGCAACACCATCAACTACCCTCGCCTCCAGCTTCAGTGGGATCTGAGGAACATCTTCATAGCGTCTTAAAAACTGAATATATCGAAAGAGATAATAGGAAATATTACCTAGACTTAAAGGAGAATCAACGTGGACGTTTCTTAAGGATTAGACAAACCTTGATTAGAGGACCTGGCATGATAGGATATTTTGGTCACAGTTTGGGGCAGGAACAGACTATTGTCCTCCCAGCACAGGGAATGATTGAATTCAGGGATGCTTTGGTCCAACTTATTGAAGAATATGGGGAAGGAGACATAGAAGAAAGGAGGAGTGGAGGGGATGATCCTCCTGAACTCCCAGAGGGGACTTCCTTCAGGGTGGACAACAAGAGGTTCTACTTTGATGTGGGATCTAACAGGTATGGTATTTATTTGAAGGTAAGTGAAGTGAGGCCTCCATACCGTAATACCATAACTGTCCCATACAAAGCATGGACAAGATTTGGAGAAAACTTTATCAAGTATGAAGAGGAAATGAGGAGAATTTACAATGGCCACAAAGAGAAAAGAATGGATATCAGAGGGGACAGTGGAGAAGAACAAGAGGGTCTTGATTAGAATGTTTTTCAATGGGCCAAAAATAAAGCAGAGAAATGCCAGGAGGTACTGATATGTAATGGTTGGAAGAAGTTGCCTTTCTTTTTGTAAGTTCTTCCCTGTTATTAGATAATTCCAATATATGGGTCTGGTTTTCATGTTAAATTACACCCAGCAACTTCTCTGGTTTCTTATAGGAACAATTAATTACCCTGTGATTCTGATTCTTAACCTCACAAGTTTATCAAATCTGTATAATACCACTAATTCTGTTGTAATCTTTAAGGAATATGTATAAGGTTTGTGTTGCAGTGTAACATGATGCAAATATGCCAGATGAAATTGATGTGTTGTAATAACCAAGAGCATTTATGACCAAAACTGACCTTTAAATTTTAAATGATTGTATTGGGAAAGGTATATTTAACTAAGTAAATCTGCTCGTTGCATTATGATAAAATATTTTTAAGGGAGGAAGAATTGGCCAGTGATAAATCGGTGATTAGGTATGGGTACCTGATCATAGGATAACCCGGTAATTTAAGTGATGCCCTCTAAATGATATATCTATGTTTAATGCTGATCATGTCATCCCTTCTATATGGATTGTTGACATCTTGTGAGGAGAGCTTATTTAAATAGTACAAATCTCAAAACTATTTTTATATTTGTGGGGTTAAGTGGTTCTAGGAAGTTGCTGTGATGTGGGAATTTAGTAGCTGAACAATCGTTGGAATTAAAATTCTAAACAGGAAGGTTAAATGTCTACAGTGTGGAAAAACATTAGAATAATTTGTGATTTATCTTCAAAAAATACTTTGAGAGATTTTGGTGCATCAGTTAGTTGGTATCCTGCAGATCAGATTTCACATTGGTGCAATTAAAGTATTCAGTAATAGCTATTGATCTTATTTTGAAATTTTAGCTCAGAAATATTTATTCCAAATTATAATCTGTATTTTTATTTTGCTAAACATTAACCCATGTTAAAAAATATCAAGAAAGTGACTGGAGAAGATTTATCATGAAACAGAAATGAAATATATATATTGTTTGTTTGGCATCACTTAAGACTTCAATTATCTATATTTAAATGGGAATATAATAAACTGAATACAGTGAAGCTAAATACAGTATTGCATCAACATGGCAAGGACTGTGCTGTTAATCACATTTTAAATTGGAGTTCAGAGTGCCCAAGCTTTTGCTTTTGACCATTCTGTGTAAGCTATTTCTATGTTGAAACCTAGTACTTTTTCTTTAAAAGAACTAGATTGGTTGGTTCAGGCTCAATATTCATTTCTTTTTCATATCCAGGTGCTCTACTAGCCAAGGAGCATGATTTTCTAGTTTTAGTTGTATTTTTCTTGGTATTTCCATTTCAGCACCATTTTAAAACTATGCTGTGACCTCCTTTCTCAAGGATTGTTAGTAAAAATGGAGATCATATCCTTGCATTTTATTTAGTGTGAAAAGTTGCCCAAATGCTTTTATTTAGAAAGAAAAGAAAAAAAGATTGCACCAAAATCATCAAAGGAACTTTAGAAATTTGTGCCGTAGTTGTGACAAAGGAAAAGAAAATTAATGTCACTGTTTTAGGTGATTTACCCAATATTTGGAAATTTGACCTAATGAGTATTTGGCTGTTTCAGAAATAACTAATAATGTTTAATTTCAAACTCAAATCTAGTTTTAATTTTTCAATTACTAATAGTCTGTGGGCCAGAGCAAGTCATGAAAGATTCTAAGTAAATACTGGTATGAAAGTATATGATCTAAGGTGGAAAATTAGAGGTCTAATGTGCTGTTGTTGATTTGATAGCAGACTTGTAGTAAATTGTCTAAGCCTAAATTACCATTCTGCTAATTTGCTGATGCACATCCCAATGCCTGTAGTAATAGTAATGTCCAGTTATACAACATGGAATGCATGAATGTATGAATTCCTGATGCTCACATTTTCCCATCTCTTGCCTTTCTATTTTTCCTATTTCATCATATATAACAGGTTTTGTTTAAAAAAAATCAATTGATACATTTTTATGGAAACTTTACCTTATCAAATTTAATAGAAACACACATATTAATGTTCTATTTTTGGTGTTTCAAGAACACATTTCTTCTGCAGCTTTTGTTTAGCAAATAGATAAAATGTTATTTACCACTAGAGTAAAAGTGTATATTAGTTAATATACTGGCCTATACAAGTTTGCACTACTTTATCTTGTTTTTGTATTGAGCCAGATAGTCAGCAGTCCCTGTTTATATTGCTGTCTTCCCCCACCCCAAATTTGTGTATTCCTGTGCCACTAAATAAGATTTGTTTCCTCTGTATATAGGCACACATTGCCATGTTCTTCAAATCAGTGAATGACTTAAACACAGATGTGAGCATCTGAGAGGGATTACACATGAGCCTTAATATATATATGTATGTGTGTGTGTGTGTGTGTGTGTGTGTGTGTATACGTATATGTATATGTGTGTATATATATATATATATATATATATTTCCTGAGGTTCTCGCGGGTATTTGTATGTGGATCTTTGGTTATTTGGGTTTTCGCCCGCAAAAGATTGGAAATATCTAGGCAACGTTTCGATGAAGTTGAAGTGAGCCCCCACTAGCAGTTAAAAGGAAGAAGCAGCTGCAAGCTCACATTACTCTGAGAAGCACAGAGCCGAAGACACAAGCCTGAAGATGATGAATGAGACTTTATCGAAAC